GGACAAAACAAGAAGTGTCCCAATATTAATGTAGCTGGATAGGGCAAATACTAATAAAGATGTGTGTGAACACACGAGGTACAATCAGGTCAGTTACACTTGTACTAATCTTTTTTTTTTTTCTCTTTTATTTTTTTAAATAGGTAATACATTTAAATATACATGGTTCTGAAAAGGAATTTGCACTCAGAAAGCTAATCAGCTCTTTGTTCTGCTTCTGTAGATACGCTTGCTGCATAGGCCATATTCAAAAGTAACTAAAAACTCATCCTCGCTTAACTCATCTTCGCTTCCACTTGCTCTGTCTAAGCAACACTATGTAACTACCAGCAACCATAGTTACTCTGGCAGCTTTGTAATGGTCTGAGGACAAATTAACCATCAGCCCATGCCAAATAAGTTCTATATAAGCAGTGTTGCAACTGAGCTCCGGGCCCAGATCTTCAGAGCCCTAGCTCCTCTGGGACTGCTGGCGTAATAAACCTGAGTTCACCAACTCTCCAAGTGCTGCTTGGTTTCTCGCTGGTCTGATTTTTGCATCTTTTCTGCAACATTTTGAGTTGCAAAGGGTACAAAAGGGAATGCAGGGAAAGTCTTTTTCCCACCCTTGTCCCTGGCCACATAGTTCCCCTTTACATAGGCAACCAATTTTATGAGTTTCTTATGTATCATTCCAGAGATACTTTGTGTACACGCACACACACACACACGTGCGCACACACACACTTTTTACACAAACAATAGTATATTAGATAGACTCTTCTGCACCATGCTTTTCTCCCCATTGTATCTTGAAGACCATTTCATATAAATGTATACAGAATTCCTGGTTTATTTTTACAACTTCATGATGTTCGACTGTATACACCTAACACACCTTATTTAGCCAGTCCCTTATTAATGGAAATTTAGCTTATTTTCAATCTTTTTCTATTATAAACACACATGCAAGTGTTTTCCTATTAGAAAAATTCCCAGATATGAATTTAATCAAAAGTACGTGCACTGGCAATGTTGATACATACTACCAAATTGCTCACCATAAAAGTGAGTCAATTTATACTTCTACCAGCAACGAATGAGAATTGCTGTTTCCTTACACTTTTACCAAGTCAAGGAATTAGAATCTTTTTTGTCAATCTGATAAGTGAAAAATAATACCTTTTACTTACCCTTATAGCATCTCCAGTAATGTCATTCTCCCTTATTTCATCCGATCCTTCCATAATTCTATTTTACAAATGGTAATACCACACAGAAAAGATAAGCAACTTGCTGTAGTCACACCCAATGTAAGCGGCCAAGGTCAGATGCTCAACACTCCTATACTACACTGTGCCACAGAGAAGTTTAAGGGGCGGCTTAAGAAATTTAAGAGAATAGGTGGCTTCAAGCATTCCCTGAAAGATATATGATACGTGAAAAAGCGCAGAAGCTTTCCAACATCTGCTAAGAGGTCTCCTTAGTGGTCTGATACAAAGACTATATTTCTACATTGTGTCCCCTGGAAGCAGACGGACTCTGATTAGCAATGTGATCAGGCCTAGTCTTAAGCATTAGCTTGGATTCAATATCTGTGAAGCAGTAGAGTGTCATTTTTAATTTTCCTGAGACTTATTTCCACCCAGGACCTAATTATTGATCATCATGGTATGGATAAGAGGGCATTTTCCCCTAGGTTCCGCTTTATACAGGACACTCACTTGGACCTGAAGAAGATAATACCTAACACACACACACACACACACACACATACACACACACACACACACACACACACGTGGTAAACTTAGGAGGTAGATATCTTTATTGACTCATTGATGATGAAACTGAAGAGCAGAAAGATAAAGTGAATCGCTTAGGGTCACACAGTATATCAATTAGCTAAGCAGAAAACACAATGTAGACCTAAAATTGAACTCATCTTTTCCAAAACCCTCATCTATTCATTTTGGTGAATGATCTGACTACCCACTCAGGCCCTCAAAATAGAAACCTGGGCATTGGAATCCACAACTCCTCTTTCATTCATCCAGTTGACCACCAAGTCCCATGGATTCTTCCTCCAACATGTCTCTCCTCTTCATTCTTATTATGTTAGTTCCTCTCTAGGCTGGATTATTGCAGCAGCCTCCTTTTTTACTTCTTTTTGCCTCCTATCTTTCCTTTCTCCCATCAGACACAGTACCCCCAAAGAGTTAGCTTTCCTAACAGATAACCCTCACATCCCAGCTTATAACCTTCAGCGGCTCCCCAATGCCTACAGACTCAGTCCAGACTCCTTTCCTCAGACCTTCTGCAATCTCTCCTTCCAGCCAGATGCACCACTCTAAACTACTCTCCTTGTTCCAGGTCCAAACCTTGCTCTTTCTTCCCTCCCTGCTTTTGCATATGCTGCGCTCTCCACCTGGTTAGGCCCTCCTTCCTGGGCCTAAAAAACACCTGTACTTTAGGGACTCAAATTCACCTCCTCTGAGAAGCCTTTTTTAAGTCTACAGTAAGTCTACAACCTTTTTGGCACCAGGGACTGGTGCTCCTATGAAAATCTAATGCTTGATGATCTGAAGTGGAGCTGTGCTAGCACTGGGAAGTGGCTGCAAACAAATACAGATGAAGCTTCACTCACTCATCCAAAGCTTACCCCTTGCTGTGCAACCCAGTTCCTAACAGGCCATGCATCAGTACTGGTCAGCAATGGTGGGTAGGGGTTGGGGGTTGGGGATCTCTGCTTTACAGTACTTTTAGTGACTTTGTCTCTTTATTCCAGGAACATTTTGGCCACACCTCTGTTATAGCATCCGTCATACTGCTTTAGGATTCTTTTTCTTCCCCAGTAGAGGGGCACACACCATTAGTGACTCATTTTTCTATCCCAGGGCCAAGCACAGTGCATATAGGAGCTCTTCAGTAGATATTGGTGAGAAGACTGGGAGAGAAAGATTCTGAACCAAGGACAACAGGACCAAGTATTTTAATTGCTCAATGAATTCAGGACACTGGGCATGGCTTAATGCTTCATCTTGCATCTATCTGAAGCAAAATGACAGTAAACATTTCTCCAAAGCAAGTTAATTTCCACCCAAGAGGATTATGAGAGAGAAGAAGACTAAAGAAAGGGGATAGAAAGCTGGGACTTTATGTCCTTCAGAGACTCTTACCTAAGGGCTGAGGCAACACATTTAACTCACTTCAGAAAATTCTCACCTGATGTCACTCAGAAAAAAAAAAAAAACGAACAATTTTAAGAGGGGGCAGCCTGGAACTTTCTCAGAATTTATAAAGAGAACAGCATTTACCACTCTAGAGAGGATAGTGTCACTACCCACTTACCCAAGCCCTCCAGCTGTAAACAGCTTTTATGCTAACGACTGCCCCCCAAAAAGCATGCTGTCTATCCCTTTATGGTGTTTTTAAAATGAACCCCCAAAAAAGAGCTGAAGTAAAAACACTAGATACAGCATAGTGAATACAGTTAATAGTACTATATTGCATATTTGAAAGTTTCTAAGAGAATAAATCTTAACAGTTATCACAAGAAAAAAATTTCTTGTAACTATATATGGTGGCGGATGTTAACTAGCTTTATTGTGGTGATCATTTTGTGGTGTATACAAACATTAAATCATCATATTGTATACCTGAAACTAATACAATGTTATATGTCAATTAAAAAAAATTTTTTTTAATACTCGAGTCCTGCCCTCACATCAAAAAAGATATCATTGTGGTTGGTGTTTTGAATATACTTTATTTTTAATGGCATTCAATTTTAGTTCCAAGTTTAACAGGGGTCTTATCCTACTTCCTTCCACACAAATACTCCTGCATGTAAATAGGAGAACTAAACTACTTCAGACTCACCCCCTGAATTCTAGTCTCTGGGGACAT